TGTAGTCAGGAAATATGTTTTAGTCTAATAATCCCAATAAATTCTAAATCTCATCTAAATTCTATATTTCTTAGGGCTTCTTTTTGAAAGCAGATAATTAGGGACTGATAATAAAATGTTATGTGGGCAGATTGCCTTCAGTGAAAGATGGGAAAATGCTTTTGGCTGACAGACTAATACCAAAGAGCTTTAGATGAGGTCTTTGGATAAAACAGTAATTTAAATAGTTTTCTGTTGTCATTCTTAGACATCTGGCAGCACTGTGTAGCATTCTTTCAGACCTGTGTTTTAAGGAATCCTAAGAGGAAAGGTAACTGAGAGCTAGCAATAACTAACAATAAGGAAAACATTATGGAAAAATTATCATACTGATTTAAAGAAATGGGATAGAGCTAATTAAGAAGTAGGAACTAGGGTACGTGTACAGAAAAAACTGCACTCCCAGTTTAATCTGGAGCAGAGAGCAAACCTGAACTCTGGAGCCTGTAGAGGAACAGTTTGTAATGTTTTCAAAATAAATTTGTTCCTCCCAGAAGGGAGAACAAACAGGAGTAATTCCACAGGTTTAGTAATTCCACAAGTTAGCTTGGCTGTAAATTAAAACTTATTTATTATACATCGCCATGAAGAACTGAAAGGATCTGTTGTAGAAAACTTAATTCAGACAGAGCATACTTTTGTTCTCTGTTTTTTCTCTTGAAGATTGGCTTCTCTTCAAAGACACTGGGACAAGAACAAAACCTGATTTATTAAGTAAAAGAAATCTCTATCATTAATATTTACTGTCCTCCTGCCAGATCCGTCTCAAGGAAGACTGTTGACAGGAGATAATTGTTCCTTTATCAGATTATGCTGATATAAAATTGCACAACACAAACCCGAGCTTTCTACTTTTATGGATAACAAAAGCTTAAGTGCCTGTATCTTAACTCGTAGCATTAAATGGCTTAGAAAGCCACACAGTGCTGATTAAATACACAAGTAATATTTGAATAAGTGTAAGAATAACTGAATCAAATGCACAAAATGTGGGAATGATAATAGTTAATCCAGACAGCGAGTTTTATATACAAATCTAGATTTTATCAGGAGCTGCTCTTGTGTTCTGGTGTGCAGCGAGTATAAACGAATCCACGGATAAGGATGCTTGGTTCCCATTTCCAGCTCCTTGAAAACCGCAGGCTGTGCTCTCCACTGTGTTTCATTCAGTGACATGATCATCTGCTCCTGGCTCAGTGCCCCCCATCGAGCACCCTCCTCCGCCTTCCTCGCAGGGACTCTTCAGAAAACATCACGTGCCCCCGTGCTGCTTTGTGCTGTCCACAAACAACTCAAAAAACACTTCTCTCCCTTCGACAGTTCTTTAAGACTGTCTTGTTGCAGACGCTGTAGAAGAAAAGCTTGGTAACCAGCAAGTGATGGACTGGATGCAGCTATTGCTGCTGTGCTGTTTGGGGTTAGCTCACACCCTGCCTCTGTGTGTCTTGTCTGAAAAGCACTTTGTCAGCTGTTGAAGGCCAAAATGGTGAGCAGAGCTGACAGACTCTGTGGTAGTGCAAGTAAACAACCAAAACTGAGACCTGCAGGCAGGCAAGCTCCAGGGGCTGAGCAGCAGCTATAGAAAGGCAGGCATAGAGGCAGTTAAGCTTAAACTTCTGTCAAAGAACCAAAGAGATGCAAGGGACCTGGCCAGGCTCTGCCCTTTCTCATACACTGGCATGAGAAACCAGGGCTGAGACTTTACCATGTTTTTTCCCTTTGTGGAACGTCTTGACACAGGCTGGCCTTTAAGTGGTTTTTGCTCAACTGCAGCAGCTTGCACATGTGTTAGATGTAGACCAGGGCTACGCTGTTAGCTGTAGAAACAGTGGTCTGCCTTTTTTGTGCTGTATAAAATGGTTGTGAAGTTCTCCACAGGTCAAAGTTGGAAGAGCACAGAGACTTGACAAGCTATTTGTGTTGCATTTAACCCTTTTGCCTGTTGAAAATCACACTGTGGCTTTCCAAGCATCATCACCTGCCCTCATCAACCTCTCCTGCCCTCGCTACCACCCCTGCAGTATCTTACCTTGTTCTTTCCATATGGGTATTTTTCCTTCCTGTCCCTTACATCCACGTTCCCAAGAGCAGAGATGTTGTTCTTCTTGGGGTCTCTGGAGGCTGCTGCTCTGGTAACTGGTAGTTGGACAGTTAAGTGCTTTGGATTGCTGGCTTCTGCTTTAGCCCATGGTTTGCTCTGCTTGTGGGTGGTAAAGCGTCTTCTATGTTGTTTAAGCTGCAGGACCCATTGAAATGAGCTCTGTAGCCTGCAAGCACCTTTTCTGTAGTTACTGGGAAGCAGGAGGCAAACCTCCTCTAGGTGGTTTTACTTGCACCCTTTTTTGGGCAGGTAGGGAGAATCGTGAAGGGATCTCTGCACTCTGCGCAGCTCAGCCATTGCTACTGGTGCTGGAGCTGTGAGCTGAAAACGTGGTGAGGAGCCTGCGCCTCTCTGTGTGCTGTTAGCCAGCAGGAAATCCAGGGAGTGCTGTTTCCATGGTGGGCATGTTGAGCTGACTTAATTGAGTCATCTTACTTTTCCTAGCAAGTAGGAACCAGGTAGTTTTCAAGTAAGAGGTGCATGTCCTGATAGGCTTTCTGTCTGCACTGAAATGGAGTAGTAGAAGGTAGGTTTGTTATGCTAGGCCTGTATCGGCTTCACAGATTTAGCTATCTGAAGGAGAAATCAGGTGAGACTCTGACCATATTTAAGTCCATAGTTAAGACTTTTCTCCAAATTTTGTTTTCATCTCTGAGAAAGCCGCTGTAGTTTATCAAGTTATGGGCTGTAGTCAGTGTTTCTCCAGGAATACTCTGTACTCTCATAAAAAAAGAAATTCAGTAAAGTCCTGATGACTGCACTTAACAGTAGTGCTGCAGCCTTTTGTGGGCAGCTGAGTTTGTCAGCTTCAGGCATATACCACGGAACCATTAGCTTTCAGGAGTTGCTCTTGTTTCGGTGGAGAAGGGTATAGCTCCTTGGTGCTGCTTGTGACTCAGCCATAAGTCAGGTTTGCTGTTAAACACAGGCTCTCTGGTTTGTGAGTGATGGAGTGGTGAGCTTGAAACATTTGGTGTTGGCATTTCAGATCCGGCTTCTTATCTCGGTGATTTTTAACTACCAAAGAGCTTGTGATCATCAGAGAAAATGGCAACCAAAGTACAGTCAGAAAAATACAGTGTGGTCATGCCGGTTACACAGAACAGGAAACTAGTGATGAATAGAGGAGAAGAACTGCTGGTGTTTAGTCTGAAACAGCTGTGGGGCTCAGCAGAATGAGAGCACAGCTTATCCAGGTCTGTCCAAGATAAAGCAGTACTTTATACTTAATGTAGTTTGGCCAATCAGCCAGGAAACACTACATAAAATTTGTCATTGGTTCTTAAATGTAGGCAGTGATGAAATCCCTTCACAGAGAACGGATATCACTCACTAATGGATTTTGCTGCCCCAAAGATTAATGTCATTTAGTTCATTCATGCTCATGATGTTGTGTCATCGTTAGAAAAATGCTGGAGGAAGGACTTTCTTTTGTGAAATGTCTGGCATTCATAGACATTGACTTTAGACAGGGTTTTCATTTTGTGTATATGACCCACTTACTAGCTAGGACCCAGCTTTTCTTTCTCAAGTGAGCAAGTTTTCTTGCATCTGGCTGAATTTCTTTAAACAAGCAATTAAGGAAACCTAACATACTGTAAAATAGGCTAGTCTAACTGAAGAAGATGCAAACAAGTCTTTCCAGCTGTTCTTGGTAATCATTTAGTATATGGAAAATAGGGAGCTGTTTCCTATCTTACTGCTTGGTAGAAATTTGGGGATTACTTGAAATCTAACAGATAAACCAGCACCAGAAAGTACAGCTTTCAGCACACTTCTTGAAGAGCTGGAAGCACCTCTACTAGCTATCTTCATCAAGGTGGCAAGTTGAATAAAGAGCTTTACAGTGCAGGACAAATAAACCAGTAATATTTATGGGATCTGAAAGGTTGTATTCATTTTCTGGATGAACTGGTTTTGTTTAAGCAAATACTATTTTTCATTCATTCTTCCTGTTCTTCTGATTAAAATCTTAAAGAAAACAGAATGTAGCCATTAGCATATTAGTCATTTTGATTAAATTTCTCATCTTTGTGCAAAGACAAATCATATGTTCAGGGACTCTAGATCAGACAGGTAAAACATCTAGTCTGAGCTTTTTACTTCTGGGCTGAGGCACAGCAGGGTGTTCAGGTAGTTTAGCAGGATAGGAAGCTGTGGCTTTTGCTTCTGCATCACTAGAAATGTGTTTTCCTTCTGCAGCAATCACCTGACTCCAGAATCTTTTCATTGCAATAGCAGCTTACTGAACTGACAGTGGTATTTTTCTATTGTCCTAATGTGGCCAAATACGCAGATGCAGTGTAAGGGTTTTTGTTTGTTTGTTTGTTGGGGTTTTGTTTCTTTTTTCTTTTTCCAGGCAAGAAAATCAATGTCAGAAAACTCCAGAGGAAAAAAGGCCCGAATGTTTATGATGATGCCTAAATAAAGCTGAATGAGGGCTAGCGAAACACAAACTCAAAACCAGATGCAGATATTCATAAGTATTTGAAAAGTGCAAGTATAAACCATAGGCAGACATGCTAGAATGTTTTGCAAGCTCTGTAAGCCTAGCAGTAATGTGTGAAAACAGAGGATGTAGCAGAAACAGAGAAATTAAAAATATGACTTGGCCATTATCATCTGAAATAAGCCTTTCACAAGGAAAACCACAAAACAGCTCCAAGTTTAGATAAGACATTGTATGGTATATTTTAGGGAACAATCAGTAAAGGAACATTGGATGGATGAGAAAGAGTAGTCTTCTGCTAATCCTGGTACTTAGGAATGAGTACTGACCATCATAACCACTACTGTATGTGTTGCATTTGGTGTTAAACTGGTCATCTGTTAAACTTCTGTCTTTCTGTTTTTATTTTAGGCCTCTTCCTTATTTTAGGCTTGATAATTTACCCTGCAGGTTGGGGATGCCAGAAAGCAATAAGCTATTGTGGACCTTATGCTTCTGCTTACAAACTAGGAGACTGCTCCTTGGGCTGGGCTTTCTACACAGCTATTGGTGGCACTATTCTGACGTTCATCTGTGCAGTCTTCTCGGCGCAAGCTGAAATAGCCACGTCCAGTGACAAAGTGCAAGAAGAAATAGAAGAAGGAAAAAACCTTATCTGCCTCCTTTAACTCCAGTGGGGAAATAATACCAGTGCCTGCATCTTAGTCTGCTTTCCATTGACTGGTCAAGCAGATAACGCTTACTTGTTTCTACCATTTGTGTGATTGAGCCCCATGCATTCCAGCCCTGAACTACTGAAATGGTCTTTCTCCCTTGCTTGGCAATGAGGATCAGAGAAAAGATCCCAAAAAAGGAGAATGTAAATATTTGGGGATTTTTTTAGTTTCATTCTATGATCAGGACACAGTGGAATATAGTAATCTGACTGGGAGGTGAGGAATCGTGTATATAGCAAACAAATTCTGATTGATCGGATTGCCTTACTCACCTTGGTCACTTTGAGGAGTTTGGATTTAAAATAATAAAAACCAGCACATTTTTTTTCTTATACAGAAAAAAGAAGCCTATTTTAATTAGGCTTTGTTTCCAAGGGCTCCCCTCACCTGTGAATATTTCACCATCACCTGGTTTGGTACCATCCTTTTTACTGAGGTGCTTTTTGATACTAAACTTACATAAAGTACAGTGCCTTCTCAGATAGGACGTACATGTTGGAGAGAGGAAAGCTGATGTGACACAGTTTACACCAACCTTTAAATATTTATAAAGTTGAGTCCTTGCCAGGTTTCTTTGTCTTAAAACTTAAGAGTGCAAAGTCCACTTGTTACTTATCAGGCACATGATTGTGTTTCTATTGGCTAGAAAGAGAAGCTGCTGTTACACTGGCTTTCACCTGGCTCTGATAAAATGGTTTGAAGTAACCACAGTTAGAAATATTTCTACAGCCTTTATTAATAAACTCCTGACATCCCAAGCAGATGAGAACTCCCCACAGCACAGCTGGGCATCGTTTTGGGAATGCCAACAGCCCAGCCTGGGCTGTAGCCTCTCCTACAAATGCAGATCACACGCTGGACTTCAACAGTATTATACTTTCCCTTGCTAGTGAGACCTCATTCCTAGCCTACAGATCAGTCTGTCTCATGACTCATAGCCACACCAGTCCTTCAGAAATTTTTTCAGGAAGTTTTGCCAAATTCTACATATCTGGGAAGATCCTTTCCTTTTTTTTTTTAACCTGCTTGTAACATGGACCGTTTCCAACTCAGTCAGGAGAAATAAAACAGACCTTGCCACAAATGACATTCCTTCTCAAAGACAGGTGGTTGTATTACTTGTGGTGTTGCATCACTTACTTACGTTTTAAATTTGTTTTCAGAAGTAGTTCTGGTATCTCAAAAACAAAGGAATGATGTAACTGTGCAATAGGAGCATTGGGGATAATTCAGCTGAGTAGTAGTTCTAATTACTTAGTGAATTTTAGACTCCTTTTCTTACTTCTTGGTATTTTAACATCATGCAATGACAGCATTGCTTTCCATCACTTCACTGTATAATATGGAGCCAGAGATTCATGTTCATGCCTGGTCAGTCCTGTACAGTCTGTCATTAGTTATTTGTAGGTATTAAGAAATCATTGTCAGCGTACAGGTAGGTAGCTGACGTCAATACAAGAGCTGTGCAGCAGTCATGGCCGCAGGCCCAGGGCCGTGCTCAGGCAGGGGTGCACAGCAGCAGCCATGGTGACACAGCACCCCTCCAGTGCCTGTGTGCAGCACAGACACCGCCTTGGCCTAGCCCATCTATGGAGCAATCCAGGTCCAGCTCCAGACCTGCATGTGTTCGTTCCCGGAGCACCTTCAAGCCACACGCTGGATGGGTACAGAGGTGATCTCTGAGCCACTGTGCAACAAATGCAGTCAACTTATGATGATTTTAAAAAGGGATTGTTTTAATCTAGTTGCTTCTTGCAGTCACCTGCTCCTACAACCCACATCTTTCTACTTTAAAATGGTTAATTACCTGTTAAGTATTTAATTTAATAAAACAAAAGTTATGGTCTGGAACCTTTTTTGCCAAGTGCCTGCACAAAGCAAGATTGTAACAAATCAAAATTACTAGCACAAGTGGTGTCCAAGGACAGAACTCAGAGCCAGTATGTCCTGCCCACCCCTGTGCCTTTCTCCTGCACACATACACATGTATTATCTGAAGGGCAGGCAGTTGGTTGTCCCTCATTCCACACAGCTGCGCTCCTGATGCTCCTCCTGATCCCACTGCATGTGGGGTGTGCCAGGCCACCAGCTCAGCAGTGAGCCTGTGGGATCTGCAAACAGGGGGAAGTATAAGGGTAGCACAGAACTCAGCTAAAACTGATTACGAAAGAGATCTTCAGTTTTAGCTTTTCTTAGGTGGGTAGCAATCCAATGTCCATGTCACCACAATCTTGACGCTTGTATTAGGGTGACAAATGCTGCTTTGGCTTAAAACACTTGTTTAACGTCAGTATAAGGTCAGTTCTTCCAAAAGGTTTAGAGGACATATACCGCTTTGGCTTAGAAATAAACGATGACCAACCTTCATTTACATTGCTAGCTGACCTCTGCTTTGAGCTACAGAATGCTTGAAAATTTTAATAGTGCAGTTTTTAAGTACAAAGGAGGTATTTTTCAATGGCTGTTTTGCTTTTGTTTGCGTTTGTAACTAAGAAGAACCGGCTTTTCTGCTTGTTGCTGGTGTACTATCAACTTGCTCTGCAATAACATAATCAACTAACTTGCAAGAATATCCATGTTCATTACATAGCACAGATAGAAGACAGGCCGGGAAGAAATACAGAAAAAAACCAATCAGAATTTCTTTTCTCAGGGTTCTGTTTTTCTAGCAAGTGTTAAGATGGTCTGTATTGAAGATTTCTTTTTCCTGGATGAGGTTTTCAGGTGCAGGGTGCACTCATTAGCTTTGACAGCTGTTTAAAGTTGTTCCTGAAGTTCACCTCAGCAGTAGCTGTCAAAAATATTAAACAAACAAACAAACGAAAAGAACAACAACAACAAAAAAAAAAACAAACAGGTATCAGCTTGAAGCTAATTTAATTAATTCCACGAGAAGGCTGCGGAGTGTAACTGCTTCTTATGTACATGCACTGCATAGGAGCTAGAAGAATTTGCTGTGGATTCTTTAAAACCTGTGTGCCAATTACTTCAGTTTAACTTTGTGGTATTGAAGAATTCTTCAGACATCTGTGGTTTGATAGACTTCGTAAACTAAACTTGTATTCTCTAAAGTGCCATAGACCTTTTTTTTTACTTGTAGCATATTTAAATATATATATATATATACACAAACATGTGTGAGATGTGCAATATCAGGAATGATGTTTGTTGTGTTTGGAGTTTGGGGGTTTTTTTGTTAGTTTTTGCTTTAAACCAGATATTTGAAAGAGAGTTCCCAGGGAAGACGTGGCTGAGGTTTTGGTGGTGTGGACAAACTAAAGCATGGCATAATGCAGTAGAATCACTAATTCTGAAGATTAATACAACAGTCATAAGAGCAGCCTAAAGATTTATCAAAATATCTTCTAGATTGATTTGAAATGCTCAGATCTATGTAATACAGACAGTTCAACTGTGAAACTGTGTCCATCCCTGGCAATGAAAAGGCTCAGCAAGGTTTCTTAATGTGCTTTATTTGTAATGTGGCACTGCAAAAAAAATTGCTACTGAGCTATTCCTGGGCTGCCTGTATCACCTTTGTATCTATTTTACTCAATAAAGTTCTCTGGATTCTGCTATTTTTTTCCAGCCAAATCATTTCCTTTTTACACTGTTATCCCACCCCAGAGTATCTCATGTCCTAGTGGTAAACAAAGAGGAATTCAAGTATTCCTTGAAAGCAGTGGGCGCTGGTGCTCACCTCAAGGAAAGGACAGAGCCCAACAGAAGCAGAGCATGGCAGCAACACATACAACACAGCTGCTCTGCACAGAAGAGTGGCTGCAGCAGTCCACCTGGAGCAGATTTTGAGCCGTGGTTTATTTGTGGTACTGTTTTTCTGTTCTTGAGTCACCACTACATACATTTGGTAGCATGAATGACGTACCTAATGTGTTACTTTTAATCTAAATTTCAGTTAAAATGTGAGTTTTCAAACTTAAACAGGAGTTTGACTACCTTAATTCAAACATATTGGACAAGTTGAACCACAGCAAGGTAGTTTAATTGTAGCATTAACAGAATGAAAGATCCCAGCCCATTGATATTGTCAGTAGTTCAGATTTCCATTGATTTTAACAGTTATTACCACTTACTGATCAGAAGTATGTGATCTGAAATTGTAGCTATGTGTAATACAATACAGTTGCATTAAAGAGACTTTCTAACTGAATGTATGTCTGACCAATGTTTTTCATTTTGCAATTAAAGCACTGCTGTTCCTGTCTTATGAAAAGGGGCAGCAAAGGTTGTAAACCAAATACTGCTTAATCACACAGAGGTTTTAAATGGCGTTTGCCACATTGTTTCTTGCCTTTCACCTGTGACTTAACAAACACTTCAGGGAGGTTATGTACTGTTGCCTAAGAAGAAATAAAGCTTTCAGTATCTCAAAGAAGTCAATGCGTCACTTTTGTGTCACAGTTGCCACGGTCCTTTTCTATTAAATTTATATATAATTAGTTTATTCACACTTCTAACAGTTTCTACACTTCCAAGAATTAGCTCTTGGTTAAAATGTGGAACATTCAGAGACCTACAGTCTAGAAGTCAGGTGACAGGTGCCACCCAGTGCGCCACCACATTAGCTATCTAATTCATCACCACATTGGCCACGGGCGGCCGGGCTCTAAAGCAGGCTGCTCCCCAGCTCTACATTAGCCCTGTTCCAAACATGTTGCCAATTACTAATGTAAACCCCAACTTCATTACCAAAAATCAGTCCCTGAAATTTCCCATCTCGCTAGTGGGGAAGTTTTCATTCCTGAAACATGGGCACAAAGAAATAAAACTTGGTCTTCTCAATGCTTTGTACAGCAGTTCCCCTGTGCTGAAGCGTTCTCCTTCACCTGAGTGATGAACAGCAATGCATAGGAACACTCAGTGAAGCAGGACTACACGGTTGGGGTTTTTTTATATATATATATACACATTACACACACACATTACATAGTCACATCACAGCACCAAGTGTTAATATCGAGAGATGGTAAAGCAAACGAGCACTGTTGTTTGTGTAATCACGATCTATTAATCCAGCAAAAAGCATATTTTAAACAAGCTGTATATGCTGCCATTAAAGTTGGACAATGAATTTAGTTTTTTCCAGAACAAAATACACATCAGTGATCCACAAACCATACTTACCACCAGCACACTTTTTTTAACCCCTCAGTAGAGTGTGACATGGTATCTAGCTTTATTCTATCATAAAGTTAAACTAATATGCTACTGCTGAGGTGACAAATGGGCACCTTCCAGATTTTTCTGCTGACGAGCATGAAAGCTACTTGTGGACATAAAATTAGTTTGTAGGAAAAAAACTACAAACTAATTCTTACACATTAATGTAACTGAGTGAAACCTAACACACATTTGTTTTCATTATCTGATCCACTGTGCCTTACTTCTGATTCATAACCAGAATGCTCCAGGTGTGTGCCTTTTCCTTGACAGAAATGCCTTTCCAGAAGTATGTCTGAGTGGTATTAATCACAGTTCTTTTCTCTGTGCTGGTGTCTCTATGTATACAACTTGGTGCTTGCAACTTCTTGAGGAAAACGAGCCTCAGCAAACCACAAGGATTCTCTCTCCACAAGAGGTCTTCAATTGTGTAGTAATTCTAACCATAAACCATGACTGGATCACGCTGCACAATCATGCTTACCAAGAAAGTACAACAACTGTTCCTTTAGTCTGCTGCCACTGCTGTCCTAGATGTGTAAATTATAAAGAAACAGACCCATCTGATAGAGAATTTCACTACCGATTCACGCATGTGCAAGTGTCTTCAAAAATACATGTCTGCGATCTCTCGAGATAATCCCGACTGTATCTCAAAGCACTGTTCTCTGTATTGTGCATTTTCAAATGTAGCTATGTCACAGTGGACTAGCTGAAGTTGGTCTGCCCTTCAAAGAAAACCCAGTAATAAATTCAGCACTAGAGACAGGCGTTACAGTTGAAAAGGAATCAACAGACTGTGACAGTGCCTAAGAAAAAAAGAAAAAGCAAGACACAGCAGTGATGCAGAAATTCCTAGGCAGACACTGGGAAAATAAACATTACCAAAGCAATGCTGTTTTCACCAACTTCATTTTACTTTCAGGAGGGTTTTAGGATTCACTTAATACCTGTAGAATTTCACTCAGTAATGACAGAACATGTTTATATTTTAATCCTTGTGAGTCTACAGCACAAGGAAGTGGGCTGCAACTGCTCAAGAATTTGCTTTGTAACAGTCAACACTGGTTCTCAATAACCTCATGTATTATTTTGATAATGGACATTTTGCTTTCCCATTTCAGCAGAATTACAGCATTTATGTACAGGATTATAAATCAGATCATCCACGCTGCACATTACCCTGACCATTAGAAGAAAAGTCCCTACATTGGCTGAAAGGATACAGAGCAAACACTCAGGAAAAAACTTTTTTTATTCTGTGACACTGTTTTAATACAATAAATATACAAAACTTCTGAGCTACTCAGACATGCAACAGAGGGACAGAAGTGGTGCATTTGTACAGAACCATGACATTCACCAGGATGGCAGAGCATTGTTAGTAATTTACAAAATGTACAAACAGCCCTCAGATAAATAAAACCAACTCCTAAATTACAGATCAATGACTACTGACATTCCAGTGTTTAAACTTCATACATTGTACTCAAATTTGCCACAATATTACAAAATTACAACTTACGTGGGCGCCATACTCTGATAATAAGAGACTGCAAAATCTAGTTTTCATTAGGTATAAAATACTTTAACAAGTATCAGCCTTCTGTTGTCAAAGGTAACCTCAAACTTCTCCTTCCCTTTTAGGCTGCAAAGTGTCAGAGATTTCTGGTTTAAACAACTTACGTGTAACAACCTTAAATTTCACTTACGATGTTTAAATCCGTACATTCAACCCATGACACTACAAACCAACACTCCCTACACATAGAACATTAAATCAGTTTTCTGAAAGAGCCTTTAAACATTTGAGAAAAAGTCTACCTGCCAAATTTTGGTTTAATTCCTAATGTGGGGTAGGGTTTTCTTCCAGAATATATTCTGGTAATGTATGTTACTACGCAATCTTCAACTTAAGTTAAATTGCAAGGATTATGTCCCTGGGATTACTATCCAAGACACAAAGACAATTGCTTAAATTTAGATTTTAAAGTCATCTATTGTAGAAGTTCTGAGATACAAGGCTCAAGTTAAATTTAAAAGATTGTGAAAAGAACAATCTTGATATACCGCTGCTAGAAAGATAATGCCTGATTTCAATAGAAAATGGTGGCTTTTATCTGGAAAGCTTTTAACAACACTCCACACAAATTTAAGTTCAATGCTAGCATGTCCACTGATATGAAATTTTAGAGCCCCTATTACACAGAATATTTAAATTGCTTTTAACTTCATGATGCAGAGAACATTTAGAAGCAAGTATATTCATTAATATGAATTTCAGCATAGGTGAAACTAGGACATTCAGCCAAATTCAAGTTGGATTTAAAGAATTAGAAAAAAGGAGACTAATAGGGACTTCATGCTCACGGTACAATACTGATCCAGGGATTAAGCTAGGGTTTTTATTTTTTGTAATGCTCTTCTGTTATTTTGAATACAGTGCAGTGAAAAAGAATCTGTGGAAGTCAGTCCACATTCTGGCAAGGTCTCAGAATTTTATGCCATCTTACTAAAGGTGGTTCACCTTCAGAGCTGAATTCATTTCAGCCACAGTGTATACTTATACAGGTTGTGGGATGTGGTCCGTCCTTCCTGCCTCCATTTTCCAAAACAAAGTTTGCAAAAACAGCCCAAATCTTGTGTTTGAGACTCATGAAGCAATGAGTACAATTAATAACCTTCAAAGGAGAGAAACATGACATTATACTAAAACCTGATTATATTCTAGAATAAAATCATGGCATGTACCATTATGGATTGTTCAGTTCCACAGCACCAATTTAACCTCGTAGGCCTCCAGTTCAGTGAGTTAAAATTTAACTTTGTTGAAGATGAGTATTTTTCACTTTTCCAACTCAAAATACTTTAAAAGCTTTTTTTCTCCCAGCTTAAATCACATCACAGAGATGGCGGAGTTAACGTTAAAATGAATTCAAGTATCTGCTAAATGTCATTGCTTCAAAAGCTTGGGTTTAGACACTATTCCTGTTAGACTATTAAATACTGTATAGTTAGGTTTTTGGACAAGCAGTAAACAAGAATGGCTAATCTAGAGATTTAGTACCACTGTTAAACACAAATACACTTAAAAAAAAAAGAAACAAAAACCCAAAAAATCCCCAATCCAACAAAATTACAACTGCATATAGAAGAGGGAAAAGGGGCAAGAAACTAGTGTTCTAAAAGTCAATGTTTGTTTATTTTCCAACAAAATTATTACCTCAAGACATGAATACTGAAATTAAAGATAGCAAATATATAATCATTTAGCTCTGTGATTGAAACCATCAGTTAACTTCCTTAAACTGTACACTGCATTACACATTCTATTACAGAGAATGTTTCTGCACCACAGTCATTTCTCACAGGTAAAGAATACTCCATGAAAATAGATACAAACAAATGCTATAATTATAAAGTGGTGCAGGTAAATTCTGGACCAGAACACTATTTAAACAAGATCAGATAAAACTCAACAGTATTCATGCAAGCTTACAGGTTTATATCAAAAGACTTATCCTAAAAGATCCCCAAGAAGAAAATTTGTATTATCTACCCTACTTGTATTTGTCCTCCAGCAGCTGCTGGAACTGCAAAACCAGTAGGCAAACCTCACTTCCTACATATTTCAGTCTACTTCACTTCTTATAGTAGAAATAGGGAAAACAGTTCTGACAAAGAAAAATAATTGATCCAAAGTGCTTTCCTGAAGTTAAAAAAAAAAAATGTGCTAGAGTGAACCATTAAAAAACCTTCCAAATTCTCAATAAACTTATTTGATCATTATTCATTCTCAGGCCAATTGCTAAAATTATTTATCCTCCAGAAAATATGGAAGGCTTTATATTCCAGAATGCAACATCTTAAAGAAGGGCAAAAAATGGCTATCCTTTTCAAACAAATAAATTTAGAATAAGATAAACCAAACATTTCCCATTTTACCCATGCACAGCTGCAAAAGAGGCAAACATGCTGTGTGAATTTTGACCTAGGCTTTTAGGGAATATAGTAAGTGACTGGAAAATAAAGTAGAATCAAAGAGAACTGTGATGACTTCTTATGTTT